GTTGTCACAATCAATAAGCAGGATGCTAGTCGACAGATGAATGTAATGATACGACGTAGTTAAATGATGGCTGCTTATGCAACTATATTACTGACTTGAATTGTGAATGATTAGAAATCAAAAACAAGATCGTTAGCCAGGTGGTTTTTTCTGTGATGAAATAACATGCTTATGAGGAAAATATGAATACAATCAAACATGATAAAGTGTTAAGGAAGTTTCAAGGGGATCAGCTGGTACGTCACTCAATCGCAAATTATTCTAGATATTGTTTCACGTATTCTACCCCAAGCTTGTCAATGTCCCCTCGGTTGTCACAACATGTGAAATGCTTCGAAGATATTTATGACAAAAAAGGCAGTTCGCGGACGTCATTTAATTTAACAGACTATGTCCCATAGGTTAGGGGCGGCCAGACAAAATCATGGCAGAAATCCATGAAGTCTCTGACAACTGGACCGAGTCATGTTGGCAGATGTAGGCTACCTGGTTGGGATCCGCGAGATGATAGTAATAGATGGTTAGAGACCTTGAATGACAACTCAAAATCGTTTGCGATGGCGCAGGTGCATCCACTCTGTTTACTCAAATCCTAATCTTCTGGATTCGTCAACACCTTTACCTTCGTCTTTCTAAACTTATCTCACTGAATTATACTTCTCGAATAATATATTCAAATCCTAATCTTCTCCGTTGCCAGTAATACTAGTACTATATTTACCACTCTGGGATTTGGATTGACAATTGCATCTCTGTGCTTATGTGGTATGGCAACCTGAATTGATGTACTTACGTACAAAGTTCTACGTTGTAATTGAGTGACTGACTGACCATGTTCTGTAGCCAAAAAGTAGTACAGAGTCGGCAAAATTCAATGTCCGCGATTGGCTTTTATTGTTGTCTGGTTTTTATGAGCTGGAACAACTGAACATTGCCTACCGCCTACGCACATACTCAACCTATTCGCTTTAATATTAACCTCTTTAATATTTCGATGAATCAACCATTTCCTTATGTATATATATGTACGTTTTAATCTTAGTAATTCATTCGCCGATTCGCTCACTCGCTTGCTCTTCGGCACTCGCTTATTGATTTTATCTGTGTGACTGTGGTCTAATTGTGGTGTGCCAAATAAACCTACTCTACACTTCATATTCGTCTTCTGACTTACAAACCGTGAGGAGCTATTTAGAAACAGTTGTCTGAACGAGCAGCATACGAAGTCTACGAACATATCGAATACCGATCGCCACGAAACTTGTGAGGCACCGGCCACCACAACTGTGAGGAATCTTCAAAGTCGGAGTTTCGACTTGAAGTCTCTGTTAAGGATGCTAGAAAACTGAAGTTTCGAATAAAGGCTGAGATTTCAGGTTGTAGATATTTTTTCATTACTAACCATCCGAACAGAAACATATTAAATTATGTAGTAGTTTATATCTTTATTACGAATATTTACTCATCAAATGCGTGTAAGATAAACGTGTTAGAGGAAAACTCAGTAGGTTACAAGCTTTTGACTACTGAATTAGATGATGCAAAAATAGAGAAACTGAATAACTTACACTTTTTGCATAATGATTTGCTAGCTTTTCGTACACCAGTGAGGACTGTATAACATACCCACGTTGAAATCCTTTAGGTGTTCGTGATTCTTTGTAAACGGAATCACAAAACCGTAGGAAATTAAAAACCTGAAATCAGATTACGGAAAGTTAGATTTTACCAAATATATTATGCACAAATTATTACTTGTCTTTGAGAAAATTTACTTGATAAACTATCATGGCTTTTTGAATTACCTCTGCATACAACGCAGATACGTTTGTACAGTCTAGGAGAATCACAAATGCACCTGTAAGTTGTTATCAAGTTATATAAAGATGTCGCTACTCATGAGCAAATAACATATTCGTGTACTTGATTATGAACTTAACTATGCATGAGAGGACTAACAATACTATCCAACTACCCAAACCGCAGTAAATAGGGTGGCACTCGAACTTGTGGCCCAGTGGTTGAAAGCCAAATGCCTTAATCTCTAAACTACCATTACAAAAGTAGCATTTAGTTGTTTAATTGCAACGAACTAAACTACACAAATATTTAACGAACTAATCTCGAGATTCGGAAAAATCTTTCGCGAAGAATCGGAAAAGCTTTCATATTATTTATCTGGAACTAATTATCGAGGACTCCAATCACAACGGACTAATTCCGTTTTGCTTTACAAACTAGTGCATTTAGTCAGCTTTTGTGATGTAATATACTGGAACGTTCTACTCATTAAAGATGATAAAACACTCATTTAATCAATTAGTCAGCTCACATCCTGGGCCGTTTCAAGGTTACGAAAAATAATTAAGTCTTAGTAGCGCAATGAATCTGCTAAGTGACAATGCTATGAAAATTAAACTTGATCACAATACAAAACAGTAAATCAAAACAGATACTTTTTAGGTTTCAAACACATGAGTTGAACGTTTCCGAATCAATTCCACGCGATTTCAAAATATTAATAAAATACAGGGGTTTCTATTTGGTTTCACGGAGAAGCCGACTACAATTAGAATGTCTAAGGTCATACAGCATGATATCTGAACATAATTTTAAGCTTAACACCTAACCACCGAAAGACATGTGGTAACGGTATGAGAAAGGTGTATCGGCTTAGTTTGATTTAAAATTAACTACAAAAAGTTAGATTTACAGATAAAAAGATAAAACACTGACCTCTCCTGACGCAATACTTGAATCTAAGAATGCCGTTAGCCTGATGTTGAAACTAAATATTTTCAGTAGCTGCGCAGAGAAGCCATGCGGGAAACTAGGTTCTGAAACATGGTTAGCCAGAAAATGTGTGTCCTTTTCTAGTTCTATTTTAAGAACGTGAGACCATTCAGGAAAATTTGCCATCCAAAACTGTCTACAGCATTTTATGATTTCCTGAAACCTAGGGGGAGTATGCTTTGACGTCAAAGCATACTCAGATTGTTTGATAAGGATAGCCGCATTAAGAGACAGCTCATCATACTGAAGATCTCTTCCTTGAACACTTGGAACTTGCGATTTGCATTTTCGGGAAAAGCCACGATTTCTAAGTTCTAAACGGCTGATTATTATTTTTTATTTGACGTGCTCACTTGATGATGCTTCATGTGCATACGTCGTATATTTAAGCCTAGTATTAATATTTAAAAGCCGATATGACAAAGAAGACATAAAGTTGATGTGTTTTCTCTGGAAGCGAACCCAATCAGCCAGACCTATTGCAGTGATTTGCGTCTAGCCAGAAGGTACTTTTGTATTGTAGAAGCATGCAGATTAGTGAGTGGGGAGAGCTGGAAAAGAGAACGGAAGAAGGGTTAACGGCCCAACACACAATATACCTACATCTATTCAGAAAAGCAAAAGGTAACAGTCAGCAAGAACATTAGAGATAGGTTGGGATAGTTTGTAAATGGAAACTTGAAGCAGACGTTGCGAAGTTCCTAAATCGCAACATCTATGAATAGGCACGCGATGTAACGCTGGTTCCGAAATTTCTTTGCAGGATCCAAGGATAACCTTCAATATCCAATATTTTTTTCACTTGCTAGTATAAACCAACTGATTTCTTTGCGCTCAATTCTTATTCTTTCGATACGGTTCCAGGTTTTCGGTAGTGTCCAATAAATAGGTCTAGCCACTCGAGTGTCTAATTCTAGTCACTTAGCCTTTGGTTGTGAATTTGCATGTCTCGGGATTTGAATGAAAACGTTTGTTTCAGTGCAGTAGGGTTTCTGGATACCAGCAGCTATCACATTACCAGACCGGAGATCAGTTAGTTGCAATGTGGAGAATAATAAGGATAATAAGGATAAAATTCTAATGCAAATATCAATAAAATTTCAGAACTAAGTAATAGATATATGTAGTTTATTACTTGGTAGTGAAGATTGTGAGAGAGGACTGAATTTTAAGCAAGGGAGGGGAAACAGAGATAATAAGCGAGATGGATTAAGTTAGTGATCTGAGGAAATGACAATATTAACAACTAGCAGGTCCCGAGATATGCATCATGAACAGCTTGTCCAAGAGGGAGATGATAGTCCGTATGTGAGTACGTGCTTATCAAGTCTCTTCCGAAAGCTGTCTACTGAGGGGGCTGTGGTTACCTCGGCGTGGAGAGCATTCCAAGTTGCGACGACTCGCAGTGAGAAAAAGTGTGCACAAACCTCAGTATTCGCTCTTTGATGAGCAGTCTTTCGAGGATTGCCTCTTAGGGAGTGGTGGTGATGCATCGGTAAGATGCCCATGTTGGGATGGGCATCAGATCACTTCTGATCATTCTATAACTCAGTATTATTGATCAAAATTACTGGATTCTATCTTCGTAAAATTTATTTTTCAACCCTATCACCCATTTCGTTGCTCGTCTCTGCACTCGATCCGAGAGATTTATGTCTCTTTTAAATAGAAGGGGTGCGATGACGTCGTGAACTTCCAGGTGTGGGCGTGCATACTTCTTAAATAGTGTTGAGAATAATTGTGTGGTTATAACATCAGGTTGTCTTCGCACAAAGTGAAGAGTCGCATTAGACTTGGCTGCGTCCCCTACATAGTTTGGACTGGTGTGGAGGCATTCTGTGGTTATTAAACCAAGATCGCGCTCTGAAGAGACATTAGGGAGCGGACTTCCATTGAGGGTGTAAATAGTTTGCATCATGTGGGGCAGAATGCAGACGACGTGGCACTTCGGTTGGTTGAGTGGGTCAGTGAAGCCCATTTCCATTACCTTTGCGATTAGGCGTGCGTGGGTTACTGTGTCAAAGGCTTTTGCAAAGTCGAGAGATATTACGTACACCGGTATATTACGGTCGAAACAGGATGTCCAGCTGTCCCAATAGCCTCGGGATGGACTTGATTTATTCAGTTTATTTCTTAGTGCTTACTTCTCGTTCCACTATCTAGCTGCTCGACCGCATTAATGCCAGTAAATTTGGTGATAACTAAAAATTTGTCTGTAATGTGATTTGTGTTGGTGGGTTTTTCTCAGTTCCCTAAGGGTTCTGGAAACTAGCAGCTATCATATGGTCATGCATTTTGGCGGAGAGCTTTGAGTTCCCTAGTTTTGGTCGAGGGTTGTTTGGCGAGAACTAAAGCTAAGAGATGCTGTATTATCTAACCAGCGTAAAGTCGCCACAGCCAATGCTATCAAGTGTTCAACTATTTTCGGTCAATCAGGGCTACAGTGATGCTTAAAAGACTCTAGATAAGTGATTCGAGAACTTTATATTTGAGATAGTTAAAGGTAATGGGAATCAGATGAGCGACGAAGCCGAAGAGTTTGTTGATTCACTGGATATTTCGTTATTGCACCGAAATGGGATGGTGTCATCAAGGTTTGGATATGAGTTAAATTCCATTACAGTGCTAGAATTGTTGGCAGGCAGTTAACCGAGCCGCCTACAGAGTAAATGATAGCAGTCGTTTGGTAAAGAAGCTTAAAGAGATAGAAACAGTCGAGAGGACGCATCCATTGTTACTTGAAACGTCCAGCACACACCAGGCTCGAGTTCATTTAGAGAATGCAACATCATGGCTTTGCAAGGTCTGCGTCGCATCCATTCCGGTCAATGTACGTGGACAGTATTAGTCCGTAGAAGCGTATGCTTGAGGTTCGATTTGGCAGGGAACAATACCAACTTAACTGAGCCATTGTGTATTAGACAACAAAATGGGAAATCTCTGTGTTAATACTGTAAATTCAACGGACAACTAATGTGTAGTACGTCACATAGACTTGAGTTATTTCACATATAATTCGGTTAAGCCCTTTTAACCTGTTTGACAGAAAAAGTCATTGATATACGAATGTACCACTGACTTTTAATTTTGTCGTATTTCTGTGAGCATTTGGGCTTCAAAATTGCTCACTACCTATGTGCACATTTATTCTACTCAATTTAATGTTAGCCGCTCAAATAATTCAGTGACTCCTTCATCGTCCTATGTAAAAATACGCGCATTTTAGTCCTTTTCATTCGCTTACTCTGTCACCGTCTGAGTCGCTGGCTTGCTTTTTGGCACTCGTATATCATTTTTGCTTTGTAACAATAATAATAATAATAATAATAATAATAATAATAATAATATGCCGGGGGTTTTGTGATCTGTGTGTGGGGCGATAATAATCAACACTTTGTATTCGTCTTCTGATGCATACATCGTTGGGCGTTATCTCGTAACGGTTATCACGACGAGCAGCATACGAAGTCTAGGAATATTTTGAATACCGGCCACTACAGAAGTGGCAAGTCCGCAACCAGCAGACGTGGTGTGAACGGGCAGTCTTTGGCTTAGTTCGCTTGAGAGTGATGCTTCAATCAAAGCTAGAACTGCTCGCTCAACTGTCAGATTTCTCAAGACAAGATAAAAAGTTGCTAATAAGGACGATTCACTTGTCTGACATACGAATCCCCAGGTGCCAAGTAAGGAAATTAATCTGTCAGTCAGATGCGGTGTTGCGGAAGCATTTCGAGTGAAGTAACAAAGATTTAGAAATAAATATGATCTATATACTGTTGGAAAGCCACTGGGATGAATCATTAGGGGTTCGGTTACATCAGTTCATGGTGGTCCCGATGAGGAACAAACAGGGCGTAGAAACGATGAGGAGAAATATATTTAATGAAGTGTTTTCTGACTACTGTGAAAAGGTGCCCTGTCAGTAGAGGTTGTTCGAGAGAAGATGTATGTTGAGGAATCTCGTAAGCTGGAGTAACGCTGCTTCTTCATGGGTCTAAAACTAGAACTAGTAAAAGCAGTGTATTCCGACAAGGTTTGCAAAGTAGAGTTTAGACTAATGCACCACTAAAATATGACACTAACGTAGCAGAGCCTAAAATCACAAAAGTGTGGAGGTTGTATATTTGGCCAGTAAATATGAACGAGGGACGATAACCTCTATCCGCACATCTCTGTGGGGTGGAACATTTTGTTTACTGACAACTCATTACGATCTAACAAGATGTAACTAATCAATGATGGTGATTTTTCTTTCCTATACTTACTGCGCTTTGGTTCATGTTTGTAACTTTGAACTGGGTTCACTTCTCACGGAACAATCCTATTACAAGCTGATACAGTTGAAAAGGAGTTCACCAGTGACTTTGTAAGTAATGGCAATGAAAAAATTATAAATGCAGTGCTGTCTGGAAAATGCCATAAAGATAAGTTCGCTTTTATTCATCAATTCTTGTTATATATAGCCCTAGGTTTAGCTAGCATTAACTCTCAACGAGCAGTCGTTCGTCGCAACGTAACGGACATAAGTTGCGCCAACTATTATATTGTACATTTGAGTTTTTTTTGAAGTTGTTTATAACCTTATGTGGAAAACATGAGAACATTATGTCTATGACCAGTGTGTCTTATAAGACATTAATCTAACTGAGCAACCTATTACAGTGAACAAGTTATCATTTGTAACAAACTAATGTCACCTGAAAATTGGCACGCCTCATTTAACACAGTGTTATTTGAAAACAAAGATATTGTTTCTATTGTTAGCATTTATTTGAAATAACCTTAATTCAACTAGTCGAGTTAGGATATTGGAATAGAACCGGTCGTATCGACTCGACTAGCAGTATGAAGTGGAATATGATTCCGGAGAGTAAAAGGCTTACTACTACTTTAACGGATTGATGATAATTAGTGATTTCGAAATTCAGTATGGCTAGGGATTCCTTTTGTAGCAGTTACGAAGTCAAAGAGATCATAGCGGGCACAAATGTAAATGTTGTATTTCAAAGTCGTTTGGTCATGTATATACAAATCGTTATCGTATGCAAACATCAAATTCACCGTAACAGTTGCAAAACTTTATGTTTCCTTGTAAGTATTTTGGCTATGTCCAGTGAATTTATGTCATCGTATTGCTGGGAGTTTTGTTTCAAGTTACTTAAAAGTGCAGCACCAGCGTTAGAAGTGGAAACGGAAAGTGCGACGGGATCAATTAGATCCTTGAAAAATATTTCACTGGTATCACCGATAAGTGCTGGAACCACAGATTATAAGGAATACTTAGGAAAACCTCTCTTGAATCGTTCAGAGCTAGCTCGTTATAAGTATGTAATATCAGCAGACAGTGATTTCAGATATCCGGCGAGGAATTTCCGTGTTTAGAAAATATCGGCATTGTTTCTCTCGTTTGCGATTTGACATCTTTATGCTGA